CCTTTTTAGTTTTTTCCTTAATTTTTTATTGTGAAAATTTTCAAATATACAGAAAATTTGAAAAGTACTACAATAAATATCCTTACATCCTCTACCTAGATTCAGTAACTTGACCCTAAGTTTCAAGAAAGCATTACTAGTGGATCTCATACTAGCAGAATACAGTATACTACTTGAAAATAAGATTAACTAATGTGCTGAGAGGAAGTGCTTAAAAAAAAAAAAGCGATTCCTTTTATTCCAAGCATTGTTTCAGGAAAGATTGGTGGCTCCCAGTTTAATAGAGGCTTGCATAATTTAGCTTTGTCTGTGAGGTGTGTTTCAGTATTTGCTATGTAGTTTCTTATTAGGTATTACTTTGGAATTCCTGAACCCAAAGATGACTCAAAGCAGGATGGAAATTTGATTTAAATCCTCAAGATACAAAGTATTATTAACTTTTCTTTTTGTTCTTTAATGGGATTTGGAAGGAAATCATGGGTAGTATCTTGAACAGCTTTATATTCCTACCAATTAAATTCAAAACCTTAATAGGAAAGTTTCTTTGAATAGTTTTTTTATTAAAATTAACTTTTAAGAGTAAATAAATGAGCACCTTTTGCATTATAATCATTTTGAGTTGATCATTTAAAAACAAGGGACTTCTAGGAGAGAGAAGTCTAATACACATATGTAGGTTTTGCTTTTTATTTTAAGACTACTTTCCTTTGTAAGTATTGACTTTTCCATTGTCTACGTTGAGTGTAGATATCATGAATATTTGCCTAAAAATAAATCTGTGGTGGTGTTATACAACTATGCATTTGTCAAAACTCACAGAACTGTATACCAAAAAGAATGAATTTTATTGTATGTAAATTAAAAGTATATTTAAAAACACACATGGCAGGAAAATGAGGTTGAAAATGAGAGGTGGTAGATAATTAGATATATATTTGCTACTTTGTTGGTATAAAACTTGGGAAATTTCTAATTAGTGGGTAAAAGAGATTTTTGTCCTTCAAAATTTAGACTTTCTTGGTTTTCAGAAACACATTCAAAGGAAAAAAAACAAATCTTGGAAATGTGTTTGCTATTGTACACTGAATTTGACAGTGCTTAAGTTGAAATTTTATTGGAGAGCAATAATTTTGTTCATATAAAGTTTCTAAACTTCTATATTGGTAAAGAAGATTAGCTGTAGAAAAGAGGGGATATGTACTTTAGTTCCTACAAACGAGTATGTTTTATTGACTTCTCCAGATTTTTACGTGTTAGCCACATTTTAAGAAAAGGATCTGTAAGTTCCTTTACTGCAAAGTATACTCTTCACTTAGTGAGCCTAACAACATTATTAATTATCTATTTTCCTTTAAAACTTTTGAGGCAACAAACTTTGTATGGTTTTTTGGATTCAGCTGTCTCAGTTTTCTCTAAAAGTCGGCTGTGGAAGTGGTCACATTAATTTGGTCATAGAGAAAGTTTTGAGTATAAAGAGAAGAAAAGAAAATGTTTAGCTTTTTAAAGTGAACAGAAATAAGAATCTTTAAATTATAAACCAAAATTTGTAAGCCGCATCACTAAAAATGGAACTGGATCCACCATAATTTTGATGCAAATTTTTATTTTTTAAAAGATTTGAGAGAGAGAGAAAGAGCGCCGGGGGAGGGGCAGAGGAGCAGAGGAAGAGGGAGACAAGCAGACTGCCTGCTGAGAAAGGAGCCTCACACGGGGCTTGATCCCAGGACCCTGAGATTATGATCTGAGCCAAAATCAAGAGTCAGTCGCTTAACCAACTGAACCACCCAGGTGCCCCTTGATGCAAATTTTTAAAAAGGGACTTTCTAAATAGTTTTTTCCTTTTTTCCTCTGGTTTATTTTCAGAGCTATAGGGTGATTCATGGTTTTGGGATGACTGTTTACTACTAAATTTTCTCATGTATGTCATATTCCTATTTATTTTTTTAATACTTGATTGCCTTAAAATTCTTTTTGGCCCCTATTGCTGTATCTTTTTCAGTTTTCCTTTGCCTTGGGTGCCCATTTTTTCCCTCTGCATTCCAACCACTTGGTATTCTTTGTTTTTCCTCTTATTTATTTAATATGCTTGGATAAGATTCTCTGGAAATATTAACCTTGCAAGAATGAGTAAATTAGTTTACTTTATTGAATGTTGCCCTCTATTACTTTCCTGTTTCTACTACTTTCTCCAAAATCTAGTTTTAGCATAGAGTTCTTAGGTGAAAGAGGACAAAGGGCAGTGGAGATGATAAAATATAAAACAGGACTAAGGTAGGAGGATCATCAAAAGTTTTCTTTTCTCTGTTCTAGAGTCAGAATTTTTTTTTTTAAGATTTTATTTATTTATTTAACAGAGAGAGCAAGCACAAGCAGGGGGAGCAGCAGAGGGAGAGGGAGAAGCAGACTCTCCACTGAGCAGGGAGCCCGATGCAGGGCTCGATCCCAGAACCCTGGGATCATGACCTGAGCTGAAGGCAGACACTTAACTGACTAACCCATCTAGGTTCCCCTAGAGGCAGAATGTTTTACAGCTCCTTCATAACTTCTCTCAGGGAGCACACTAACCCCAGTCTTTATAGCCATTCTCCTCCCATTGCCTTTAAAAGGTTTTATGATTTCTTATATCACAAAAGATTGTTCAGAAAAATCAGCTCATCACATATTTTTGCCTTTTGACATTAAATTTGACAGAATAATCTTTGCTTTAATTCTGCATATAATTTTATTATAATTTATTATACCTTATCCCTCACAACTAAATGTAAAGCCATAAACTAATTAGCCTTGCAAACTCAGCTAATCTTTTAAATACTATTTATCTTCTAGATTATAGCTCTAATTGTGACTCTTAAAATTAGTGCTAAAATTTACTTATTTTTGATTATAAGATGGCCTGTAGATTATTAGACCCTATTTTATTTATTAGTTTGGTGGTAATGTGACGTAGTTTGTCCCTCAGTAAGCTGAATGAGGACATAGTTAGCACTATATTTGGATTTAAAACTTTAGGGATAGAAGTTTTAAAATGTACATTTTAAAATAATAAACTTGAACTGAGAAATGGTATTCTCTAGATCAGGAATCTCAGTTTTTTTTTTGTCTCAGGATGACTTTACACTCTTAAAAACCGAGGATCCCAAAAGTTTTTGTTTACATATGTACTGTATATAGATATTTATTGTATTGAAAATTAAAACAAAAAATTTAAGATCTTCATTTAAAATAACGATAAACCTATTACATGTTAACATTTGTGAAAAATAACATTTTCAAAACAGTTGTGGGAAGAGTGGCATTGCTTTACATATTTATAGGTCTCTTTAATGAATTGCTATTAATAGATTATAACGAGTCTTTTATCTGTCCCTGCATTACACCTGTTAAAATAAGTAATTTTGGTTGAAATATAGAAAGATCATATTTGGCCTTGCACAGATATATAGTTGGTGAAGGGAGGAATATTTTAATAGCCTTTTCTGATAATTGTGGATCTTCTTTGATACTATACCAAAACTCAACAAGTGGTAGTTTCTTAAAAGTTGCAATATGGAATCTGAAATCATATTATAAATGTGTTGGTCTTTTGATCTTTTGCCCAAGCATGATTTATAACATGCATTGGTGATTTGAACCAATTAGTTCATTGTGTTATGCAGATCTCCAAATGTTAACATTTTATTATACAATAATCTCCCCCCTAAAAAAGTAAAAGCCCACATTTGTTAAAATTACCACTTATTTCATTAGAAAATAATTAATGGGAAGTTATCAAGCACTTAAGTGGCAAAAATGTTTTCCAAAATTCTAATTTTCACTCAAAAACTTTTACCATTTGTTTTCCTTGAAGTGAAGAGCTATTTTGTTCATTTTTGAGAAGATGCCTGCTTTACCTAAGTCTAAATAGCCAGTTTGTCATTCATTCTTTAAATAAAAATTGTGTTCCATAAAAAAAAGCAGCTGGTTCAGATTGTGACTCAATCATGTAAGTGCTTTTTCTCCAGACAATATCTGTTGGGTGCAGCAGACAAAATGTTAAAAAGGCATGTACACACTGATCAAGATTTAATAAAATGAATAATTTTTGCTGCTTCATAAAGAACATTCTTAAATGAAACTGGCTACCCCCACCGGTACTGTGGGTATGTGGTAATGAAGAATACAATAAATTGTAATACAGTTTGGTGCTGCCTTTTGCCTTGTTTCATTCCTGCTAAGGCTTCAGCAGTGTCTACTCACCATTGCTTTTACAGTGCAATCGTCAACGTGGTGCCAAAAGTAAATACCATCTTAGTATTATTGTGAAAAAAGTATTGACCTTCACAAATGACTTGAAAGAGTCTTAGAAACACCAGATTTCAGCCCACATTTTGAGAATTGATGCACACTAGACAGACAGTTGTGGTGGTTTAAAAGAAAACTTCATTTAATTCTCTGAAGAATGAATTGCAACTCATGTTTTTACTTACGATTTCAATAATTGTAATCTTGCCTCTGAAATAGAAAAATTTGCCAATTTTTAATAAAAGCCTGCACAAGATGCATGCTTGAATTTATATTTCTGTGCTTCTTTCTTTTAAATAGCATACCATTTTATAATTGTGGGCCCAGACTAAAGAGCTCATTCTATTCAAACACTGAGTAGCTTTGTTTCTGACAGCTAGCAGTCAGCTTTCTGTTTTAAAACAATCAGTTGGGTCCTGCTGGCTCAACTTGCAGTTGTCCTAGACCTAACCCTATCTCAGCCAAAGACTGTTGCTGGAAAGCCCACACAAAGGCCTTGTGTAAGGGAGTCCTGCTAATAAGGAGTGTGTTCTAGTCCCAGCAGATTAAATCTGCTTTGGTGTGCATTCCCTTCCCAAATTTCTCACTCATTTCCTTTGTTTGCCTGGCTATTTCAGTGAGAGATCATTTTTAATGCCTCTGAAGATAGTTTCTTCTGATTATTACGTAGTCTGAGTGGAGGGGATTACTGGAGTAAAATGTTCCTTTCTCTATGGTAGGATGTGATGGAGCTGCTTGAAGAAGATCTCACGTGCCCAATTTGTTGCAGTCTGTTCGATGATCCGCGAGTTTTGCCTTGCTCACACAACTTTTGCAAAAAATGCTTAGAAGGGATCTTAGAGGGGACTGTGCGGAATTCCTTGTGGAGATCCTCTCCATTCAAGTGCCCTACATGCCGTAAGGAAACTTCAGCTACTGGAGTCAATAGCCTGCAGGTTAATTACTCCCTGAAGGGTATTGTAGAAAAGTATAACAAGATCAAAATCTCTCCCAAAATGCCGGTGTGCAAAGGACACTTGGGGCAGCCTCTCAACATTTTCTGCCTGACTGATATGCAACTGATTTGTGGGATCTGTGCTACTCGTGGTGACCACACCAAGCATGTCTTCTGTTCTATTGAAGATGCCTATGCTCAGGAAAGAGATGCCTTTGAGTCCCTCTTCCAGAGCTTTGAGACCTGGCGTCGGGGAGATGCTCTTTCTCGCTTGGATACCTTGGAAACTAGCAAAAGGAAATCTCTACAGTTACTGACTAAAGATTCAGATAAAGTAAAGGAGTTTTTTGAGAAGTTACAACATACATTAGATCAAAAAAAGAATGAAATCCTGTCTGACTTTGAGACCATGAAACTTGCAGTTATGCAAGCCTATGACCCAGAGATCAACAAACTCAACACCATCTTGCAGGAACAACGAATGGCCTTTAACATTGCTGAGGCTTTCAAAGACGTGTCAGAACCCATCATATTTCTGCAACAGATGCAGGAGTTCAGGGAGAAAATAAAAGTAATCAAGGAAACTCCTTTACCTCCCTCCAATTTGCCCACAAGCCCTTTAATGAAGAACTTTGATACCAGCCAGTGGGAAGACATAAAACTAGTAGATGTGGATAAACTTTCTTTGCCTCAAGACACTGGCATATTCATTAGCAAGATTCCCTGGAGCTTTTATCAGTTATTTGTGGTAGTCATTCTGCTTAGCTTTCTTATTTTCTTTGGTCCCACTATATTCCTAGAAGGGTCTTTATTTGATGAATTCACAAGTTGGAAAGACCATCTCTCAAACTTCAGTTCCTATCTGACTAAATCAGCTGATTTTGTAGAACAGTCAATGTTTTACTGGGAACAGGTGATGGATGGGTTTTACATTTTCAGTGAAAGATTTAAGAATTTTACTTTGGTGGTGCTGAACAATGTGGCAGAATTTGTGTGCAAATATAAACTATTATAAAATCTGTTGCAAGTGTATAGTTCTCTGTCTTTTGTTAGAAATTTGTTAAAGAGCTGAGTGGTAGTTCAGATTTGGTCAAGATTTCAGTCAGGTATCTTCCTACAAAAGTATTCCTTTCAAAAATAATGTCCTATACATGTTGTTCAAATTAGGTAGCATAAAGATAAATGTGAGATTTAATACTAAGTCCTGAACCCTCCTTCCTTTTTAAATAGTGCTTTTGTAAAACGCCTCCTACCCCCAATATTGGTTGTGTTCATGCTGTGGAAAAGAGGTGAAAGAAGAGCACATGATCTAATATTATGTAAATGAGGTAGTGTAACAGTGATTGTTCATTTAAGCATGTAATAAAGCCTACTCTTGTAAAGCAACTTTTTTGGAGACTGGACATTCTTTTAAAAAAGAAGATATGGGTGGATTGGACTTCAAATTTTTCTAGATTTGGATTTCTAAATTTTATTTTTTTGCTAAAATGTAAATCTTAGGTAAACAAAAAGTGGCATTTTTCTTGCAATAAGTTTACATTTTTAGGAGGGTGGAGATTTCAGCTTGCCTTTTTCTCCTTCAGTTTTGTAAATTTATCACCAAAGGAATTCAAAGGAAATGTTAGGGGGCTGTGCAAGCAAAGGCGTAGGTAAAAAAAAAAAAAAAAAAAGTCTAACACATGGCAAGGACAGGAAATGGGAAAGCCTTCTTTTTATTGGCAGCTAAGCGTTGTGTTGTTCCAAAGTATCATGGCAACTGTACAACCAAACCATCCACTGCTTAACATCTTTTTAAAGAGTAGTAAGATTAATTTGACAATAGATGGAACAGTCTTTCAGCTATTATAAAGTGCAAAGTAATCAGCTAAAAACTAATGATTTGTTAACTAGAATTTAAATAAAAAATTTTAAAACAGCAGTACATACATACATACTACTGGGGGAAAAATAAAACACTAATGCTCACATAAGATAAAGATACCTGCCTCCTACAGATTTTTTTTTTTTTAAAAGAACTAGGTAGGTTTTTAAAATTCATTTGAGAGCGATAGAGCAAGAGCAAGGAGGAGAGTCAGAGGGAGAAGCAGGCTCCCCACTGAGCAGGGAGCCCGATGTGGGGCTCGATCCCAGAACCCTGGGATCATGACCTGAGCCGAAAGCAGACACTTAATGGACTGAGCCACCCAGGTGCCCCCTACCTCCCACAGATTAAAAATACTTGCTTAGAATCCAGATGAAAACAAGAAGTGATCTCATGTTAGAACTGCTCTCTAGTCCCTTATTTCTGTCATGGAACAAGACATTCCTTGGAAAGCCCAGAGTGTCTTTACCCTGCCCTTTAATTTGGTTGAGAGGAAGCAACTAAATTTAAAGAACGGAAGAATCCAGCTATGGGAATAAGAGTCAAATTAAGCTGCTAGCTGAGGTAATGGCTGCCTCATCCATAACTGACAATTCATGATTTAGCCACTAAATTGCTAAAGGGTTCATAAATTATGATAATGTTCCTCTGTAAATCTTAACTTCTGCCATGACAACTCATTGTAGATAGGTCCGGGGAAAGGGGAATGCTTTTCTGCTCCCACTATTTTTTTTTAAAGATTTTTAAAATCTTTTTTAAAATCTTTAAATCTTTTTTTAAAGATTATTTATTTGAGAAAGAGGGAGCAAGAGAGAAAGAGCATGAGCAGGGGGAGGGGCAGAGAGAGAAGGAGACACAGACTCCCCACTGAGCAGACAGCCCAGTGTGGGGCTTGATCCCAGGACCCCTGGATCATGACCTGAGCTGAAGGCAGACGCTTAACCGACTGAGCCACCCAGGCACCCCTTCCAGTACTTTTTTTAAAATAGAGATTTATGGGGGTGCCTGGGTGGCTCAGATGGTTAAGCGTCTGCCTTCAGCTCAGGTCATGATCCTGGGGTCCTGGGATCAAGCCCCGCATCGGGCTCCTGGCTTGGCGGGGAGCCTGCTTCCCCCTCTCCCTCTGACTCTCCCCCTGCTCATGCTCTCTCTCTCTCTCTATCTCTGCGTCTCAAATGAATAAAAAAAAAAAATCTTAAAAAAAAAATAAAATACAGATTTACAATAAGTTTTCATGGATATATATATATATTTTAATGGAATACAGGAGAGGGATCTACTTGACATCTATCCTTAGAAATATTGGCAGTTTTTCTTAAATAATCCAGTTCCTCATCTGTTCCTTTTTCATTTTGTATACTGCAAGTTCCCAAGCAACTCAAATTTGCAAACACAGCTATGGATACACTATTTGCTTTACAGTAGTTAGGAGGGAATCTAGGTCTCTGTTTTTTGTTTTTTTCCCCTCCCCTCCATTTCTTAATCATATATAACTAGCAACATTTATGGCTAGAGTTTGATTTACAAGTTTCTAAGTCTGTAGCTTCTAGTTTGAAGCAAGAAAAGAATGAGTAGTCAGGAACTGGTCACTTTGAATGTGGGAGGGAAGATATTCACAACAAGGTTTTCTACCATAAAGCAGTTTCCTGCTTCTCGGTTGACACGAATGATAGATGGCAGAGACCAAGAATTCAAGATGATTGGTGGCCAGATTTTTGTGGACAGAGATGGTGTTCTATTTAGTTTCATCTTAGATTTTTTGAGAACTCATCAGCTTTTATTACCCACCGACTTTTCAGACCATCTTAGGCTTCAGAGAGAGGCTCTTTTCTATGAACTGGATCCTCTGGTTGATCTCTTAAACCAAGAACACCTGCTACAGCCAAGACCTGCTCTTGTGGAAGTGCATTTCCTAAGCCGAAACACTCAAGCTTTTTTCAGGGTGTTTGGCTCTTGCAGCAAAACAATTGAGATGCTAACTGGGAGGATTACAGTGTTTATAGAGCAACCTTCAGCACTGACCTGGAGTAGTAACTCTTTCCCTCCGCAGATGACCTTGCTTCCACTGCCTCCACAAAGACCTTCTTACCATGACCTGGTTTTCCAGTGTGGCTCTGACAGCACCGCTGATAACCAGAGTGGAGTCAGGTATTTTGAACTTTGAAGCATCTCTCTTCTGTATCAGTTCCTGATGTTTCCCCTCAAAACTGGAAGTTTCTCATGGCTGAAACTTTTCTTGGAAAAAATTATTACTCACATGTTTTGGGGGTAATAAGTAGAGTTGAGTAGAGTGATCAGATAATTATTGTCCAGACTGGGCTATTTTTCAGAGTGAAAGAAGGTATTCTTATTATGTGGGACAGTGGGAATAAACCAAGACTGTCCAGGGAAAATTGGAACTATGGTCATTCAAGTTGTAAGAGGAAATAATTTTATAGATTATGTTCCATTGCTAGTGAATTTGGCCTACGACTGAGACAACACCTTTCTTTCCCCCAAGAGATTCTTTTAGTGGCTGGCATATGGTAAAGTCTCAGTAGTTTCTCCTGATTTCCTTACACTCTACGTATATTTGTTCTTTTAGTCCTTATGATTTGACTACTGATTTTCCTCCATCTCACTTTATTTTTAAACACCATTAAGGCAGATATATCCCATAGCAAATTTGGTATCCTATTACATCTTTGGCATTCTTAGACAACTCAAAATATTGGGATAGGCTGTCAGTATGTTAAGGATAGTTGCTCCTGAGTCAATTATTCACTTTCTCCCCCTGTTGTTCTTGGCTGAACACTAAGGCTGATTTCTACTCTGCTGTCAGGGACACTTTTTTTTCTCCTTAAAAATGTCTTAATGCTGTCCCACCATTATTTTACTAACTGTGAAAGCTGGCTTTAATTTTCAGGAGGAAAAAAAAGTAGTCTGCATATGTTCTTTACTGATACTATTTAAAATTTTTTTTTTTTTGCGGGGGGGGAGAAAAAGTAGACATAGTTTGGGATATTTTCTTGACTTCAGCAGTCGCCATCAGGAACTATCAGTGTTTGCCTCTCTGACAACACACCCCTTTGTTTTACTTACCAACTGAAGAACACTGGGCAGTATGACAGTTCTTCAGTTTCTACACTTAATAATTTCCTGCCCTCCCAAAAAAGGTTGAAATGTCACTTTGGGAAAAGGGAGCCAGTTAAATTAATAGGCTGATTGTGAAGAGAACTTAAGACCCTATCTTTATCTCAAAGTGTTTTAAGATATCTCTGTATACACCTTTCTTTTCACTGGTGGGGCACTAACATGAATAATTCAGAAGGGAAAACTATTCAGTTTTTTTAAAAAAAATTTGATTTAATGATTAAGATCTTTGAGGATCGGGGTGCCTGGGTGGCTCAGTTGTTAAGCGACTGCCTTTGGCTCAGGTCATGATCCCAGGGTCCTGGGATCAAGCCCCGCATCAGGCTCTCTGCTCAGTGGGGAGCGTGCTTCTCCCTCTCCCACTCCCCGAGCTTGTGTTCTCTCTCTATCAAATAAATAAATAAATTCTTAAAAAAAAAAAAAAGATCTTTGAGGATCCCTTTAAAAAAAAGATAGAAACCCCAGGAAAAATGGTATAATTAATTTTAAGAAGAAACATGCAAGGTAAAAAGATCCTGGAAATACTAAACACTTTAAAATCTATGCATGTGGAGAAAATAATTGAAAAAAATATGCTGAGAAACAAGATTAAAAACTAAGGTTGGAATATTCTTGTATGTACAGTGCCAAGTGTTTTTACCTTTGCTAAGTGTTTGTGTTTTAGAAATAGTACAAATTTTTTTCATCTTAATGTAAGAATGGCATTATATTTGGGCACCTGGGTGGCTCAGTTGGTTAAGCGACTGCCTTCGGCTCAGGTCATGATCCTGGAGTCCCGGGATCAAGTCCCACATTGGGCTCCCTGCTCAGCAGGGAGTCTGCTTCTCCCTCTGACCCTCCCCCCTCTCATGCTCTCTGTCTCTCATTCTCTCTCTCGCAAATAAATAAAATCTTAAAAAAAAAAAAAAAGGAATGGCATTATATTTAAACTTCCAATATAGATAATTCCAAAACCAGAAGCTATTTAATAATTAAATTTTTTCATCACCAAATAGTATTCATTTGCTGGAAGTTCAGAATTTTTTTCCATCCTATAAGTGTTTATGATTTTTTTCTATCATGCCAATTTCAAAGTAGAGATGGATAACCTAAGTAAGGGGACATTACTGGGATTTCGGGTGACTGTATGAAAACTCTGGCCCTGAAAGGCCCACCTTAGGTACATAACTGCCTGACTAGCCATCATTTTTATTTCTTGCTCACTCCCTGTTCTGAATCATCCATTCAGATGTTTTTTGAAGGTGGGAAGTGGAGGAGTAAGCCTGGATGGCTCCTAAGAGTCTGGCGTATCATCCAGCTGTTCAGTATGTTCCATTAATATGATTCACCATTCTAAGATCTTGTTAACCTAGCAGTTTGCTCAGTTACTATCTCTCAAGTTCACAGTATGTGAAATACTTGGCTTGCATCTTGCAGAAGGTCATTCATATGATACCACGTTATCAAGCTCAAGTTATGGTCATAGGATTCTAGAGTCTCTTTGGTAGCCTTTATTCTATCTGACCTTTCCTTTTTAAATTGGATCAAATGGAAAAGTGTATTTGCCTTTTTTTAAAATAAGATTTGATTTTCTATTTCTCAATGCATTCTTCTACCCTATCCTTCTGCCTTAAAATCTTTCATTTCTTAATTTGACCTCCTAAGGAATCAAGTACTATTGCTCAGTGATTTCTTGCAAGTGTTTGTGTCTTAATGTGAGATGTGCTATAATTTTCTTCTCTTTAATAAATGTTTCTAGGCTACACAATCAAGATCTGGGGTTTGGGACTAGATGGAATGATCTCCTAATGTGAAAAATTTGCTGTATCAAACATAATAAACATTTTTGACATGTACTTTGTACTTCTATAAATCTTACAGTATTTTCTTTGCCTAGAATTAATTTCTAAACATGAGCTAAAATAACCACTCTATTTTATTTTTCTTATTTTTTATTTTTTTTTAAGATTTTATTTATTTATTTGACAGAGAGACACAGCAAGAGAGGGAACACAAGCAGGGGGAGTGGGAGAGGGAGAAGCAGGCCTCCCACTGAGCAGGGAGCCCGATGCGGGTCTCGATCCCAGGACCCTGGGATCATGACCTGAGCCTAAGGCAGACGCTTAATGACTGAGCCACCCAGGCTCCCCAATTAACCACTCTATTTTAATCATAGTTAAAAGGAGGCAAAGGATGTCGTAAAGGCTCTTTTTATGCCATAAAACTACAGAGAATTTAGGTTGCTTTGTGGAAGTAAGTTAGTCTTTTCTTCACATCTCATAAACAAATGGTGAGAGGACTCAAAGACATAAAAATATCCTTGATGGTATTTAAAGGGGTAATATAGCTATATCTATGTGGACATGTTATGTTGACATTATTAAAACTAACATACAGCCAATCTGAAAAATTTCAGGTTGGCTTTTTTCTTGAACTATGTGTATTGGTTCTATAGAATCCCCTAGGAAATACAAAGTTTTGTCATTTTTACTCCAGAGGCCTTTTGACCCCGTGCTTTACTCTTTAACAATGGATAGTTATTGAGTAAAAATTGACAATAAAATCTTGACATTTTTAATCTGCAAAATTGTACCTGAAAAATGTATTTGATAGAAATAAGAAAAAATTTGTAATGTCAGTGCTAATAATGGGTAGAATTAGATCTAGGAGGGGAAACTAAATGTATAAAATATTCATTAAAATGATTGTCAATTCATTTAATTAAGCTGATTAAAATAATATTTAGTCAACTGAATACAAAAATTAGAAATTGTTAAATTGTATAAAAAGTTAAGCTAATTTGTTTAATCAAATTGTTTGCTCCAGAAAATAATTTCTCAATGAAAATTCATCAGTGTTGGTTATATTCCTAAATGTGGATTTAAGTGACTTTGGAGATCACAGGAAGGTCTTTATTTTCAATACTCTGAAATTACTAATTTGGATCTATAAATGAAGTCTCAAAAAAAATCTGATCAAAAATGGTATGATGCCTTTATTTGAGGTTATAAGTCAAATTGATGTGTTTTGTTTTGCTAGTTATTAAAGGGATGCTTTATAATCAAACATCTGTTGTGTGTCCTAGGTATGTTTCTATAAAACCTGATAACCGAAAATTGGCCAACGGAACTAATGTCCTCGGGATACTAATCGACACTTTATTAATGGAAGGCTTCCACCTAGTCAGCGCTAGAACACTATTCTCTGAAGACAAAAGTGAATGCTATAGCTTTGAAAGGATAAAAAAGCCTGAAGCTCTCACCATGAACAAAACACTGAAACCAGAGACTACCATCATGTCAGAGCAATCTCAGAAAAAGAAATGAGGTTCCTGTTCCCTTCTAGAGTAAAGAGAAATTGCCATTTTCTTGTGGAAATTCCATATTTATGGCATGTATGTTAGTCATATATGTACTCATTTCAACTTCTGGCCTTGTCTCCTAGTATGCCGTCTCTGGCAACCATACCTCAGCGGTGCTTAAACCACACTAACTGCTTCCTGCTCTCTAAATAACACTGTGCACTTGGTGCTTTGGCACATGTTCCTTCTACCTTCAATGCCTCTTTCCCTTTCTTTTCTTCATGAACACTTACACAGCTCTCAAGAATGGGTTCTGGAATCAGACTGCTTGATTTCGTATCCCAATTAATCAGTTACTACTTATATGACTTGGGCAAGTCATTTAAGCTCTCTGTGCCTCAACTTCTTCATCTATCAAATGGGGATAATGTATCTCTTTATAGGATATGTGAAAATAAAAGGAGATAATGTAAAGTACTCAACAAACTGTCTGGCACATAGTAGACACCAATAACTGTTCATGATGGCGATGATGATGTTGAAGAAAAAGAAGATTGGTGGCCTACTTTGAATTGTACCTCTTCTGTGAGGGTGAGGCCTTGTTTTCCTCTTTTCCCGGGCATATTAATCAGCCCTTTCCTCTGTATAGACTTATATGCCATCATAAAAACAACTTTTTTCACTTGAATGTGAGCTCAATCCACTCAATGGTTTTAACACTACTATGTGGAAAGCACTACTAAACATTTGGTGAGAGGATAACTGTTACTAATTAGCACCTACATTTGGTGAAAAGCTTCTGAATAACCTCTCCTAACATTTAAAATATACATATACTATGGCTTAGTGATTCCTCTTTTAGGAATTCCTCATATATATGTGTCATTTTGAACACCAGAATAAACATCTAGAAAAGGAAACATTAAGTCAAAGAGCATCAAACACACAGCAGGGTTAAAAACCTGCATGGAAGCAGCTGAGTACCTTTTTAAAAAGTACAATTAATTCATTCAAAGACATATGTTAAACATTTGTTAGACACCATACTAGGTTTTCAGGATTAAAAAATGAGTAAGACAAAAATTCTTATTCTCAAAGAGCTCATATTCAAGAAAGAAAGTACATCATCTAACAGCAAAAGATTAGAAATAAACTCAAAGTTCATCAATAGGGAATGGGTAAATTATGGTTCACACAATGAAATACTATGGAGCCCTTAAAGAAGAATAGGGCAACAGTTTACAAACTAAGGAAAGATTGTCAAATATTTGTAAGTGGAAAAAAAGCAAGGTGCAGAACAGTGTATAAAGTGGGAAAATATATTTCCATTATATATGTGTGTATGTGTGTATAGTTCCCAGTTGTGGAAACATACTCATTTTCTTAAACACACATAGAATTTTCAGCAAAGATACGGGTCACCTGTGTAGAAGGGAACAGGGTGAGTGGGGTTTGGTGTGGAAGGAAGATTTACTTTCACCAGATCATGTAGATATATTATCTATTTAAAAAAAAAGAAAGGAAGAAGATACACCTGAAAGACTGTATGTGTGTGGGGGGGAGGGGAGGGAAGGGATTTTAGGAGGACTGTAATGGCATAGTATGGACTATTATCTTATATTGATACAAATGTTAATTTACTACTTTTCCTGTGAAAGCCCTCCACTTAGTAAAGAATTTACATTCCATAAATATTTACCAATTATAGATTTGTGCACTAGGTTGTAGAGAAGAAATAAATATTTTTAAAATTTCCTAACAGTATCTCAACAGGTTATGTATAATGTAAGTGCAAAATACTTGAAGATTAGTAATGTCAAGGTTAGCAGTTGAAAATAATGACTCCAATAAGAGAAAAAGCCCTATGAATAAGTATTTTGTTTTTGGTGGCACTTATCCCCTCTTTTCTGCAAAAAAGCCAGTTTAGTTGTTTTAGTGTGTCATCTTAATTTTGGGGATGATGTGTTTGGTTCCCTTGCTAGCACCATATTCTAGGGCACAATATTTCTATTCTGGTAAGTTTTTGACATTTTGTGATTTAACTAGCTGGATATAGTTGCCATGGTTACATATGCAACACTGTTTAATTCTGTATAGAGCTTTGCTGGTAAGATTATTAAAAAACTGGTAACTGGTTAAAAAATACTGAAACAAAAAATATTGTTGGGGCACCTGGGTGGCTCAGTCGTTAAGCCTCTGCCTTCGGCTCAGGTCATGATCCCAGGGATCGAGCCCCGCATCGGGCTCCCTGCTCAGCGGGAAGCCTGCTTCTCCCTCTCCCACTTCCCCTGCTTGTGTTCCCTCTCTCGCTGTGTCTGTCTCTGTCAAATAAATAAATAAAATCTTAAAAAAAAAAATTAAAAAAAAATATTGTAACAGGTTGGCAAATAATAAGACAGGAAATGTTTAAACTACTGTTAGGGGATGCCTGGGTGGCTCAGTTGGTTAAGCATCTGTCTTCGGCTCAGATCATGATCCCAGGGTGCTGGGATTGAGTCCCGCATTGGGCTCCTTGCTCAGCGGGGAGCCTGCTTCTCCCTCTGTCTGCTGCTTCCCCTGTTTGTGCTGTCACTCACTCTTTCTCTCTCAAATAAATCTTTAAAATAAATTAATGTTAATATGTTCTCAGCCATTCATACTTGCACAAAACTACTTTGACTTGAGAAATAAAATATTCTTTTTAATGTGTTAATAGAAATATATTACCCATGGAAACATAATATATATGACATTCATTCATTCACTCAGTAAATATTTATTGACATCTACTGTGTGCCAAATACTATTTTAGACATCAGATATACTGCAAGGAACAAACAATGCCTTCCTTTCTAGAGTTTTTTCACAAAAACAATTCATAACATTGACAGTGGGTTTAATCAGAATAACAAGTATTATTAGTTTCTCAAAAGTTACGAGTTCACAATGCAGAGGTTTTTAGAAGGAGATAGAATATTCCAATTTAAAAAATATATTATTCATTAGGGAAAGTGTACTTTCAGAGTAGATTGAGTTTCTTATTTTAGTAAATATTTTAGAGATTATTGCATCTGGAGACACATCTGTCAAGATCATCTCAGTAAGCCTTTTGTGTTTACTCTAAAATAGAGTGGGACACTGTCACTGGGATATCAAGATATGCAAAAAATAAAGTCTTGTTTTAGAAAGGGGGGCAGGCAAATGTAGTTTGAAGAAAACAGGGATATATTAGATGCACCACAGGCAAATTAAAAACTCTTGCCTGCTTTAGGAAAAAAAAAAAAAACTTTAACATTTTCATACGGTTATCACTTAACTCTTAACTTCTTGACTGAAGTGATTTGTCAGTGTTATTTTATTTTATTTTATTTTTTTAAAGATTTATTTATTCATTTGAGAGAGCGAGAATGAGAGAAAGTACATGAGAGGGGGGAGGGTCAGAGGGAGAAGCAGGCTCCTCGCTGAGCAGGGAGCCCGATGCGGGACTCGATCCTGGGACTCCAGGATCATGACCTGAGCCGAAGGCAGTTGCTTAACCAACTGAGCCACCCAGGCGCCCTGTCAGTGTTATTTTAAATTATAAGAAAATAATGCCAGAAGCTTGTCTTGGGCAAACCACTCTGAAAACCTTCTATCAAATCATATGCACCTATCAATCCATCTCATATATATAAATATGAATCATCACAATGATACATTAAAGTCTGTCAATCCTTAACAGGACCATTAGTAGTTGGGTCTCCCCTAGTCTCCCACTTCTGTTATGTTTATTTTAGCTTTTCTCCATCCCCCACAGTTTCATTTGGATAAGGCACTAAATAGCTTATTTTGAACCTCAATAATTTACCTTATAAGTGACTGGAAGTTGTCCCTAAAAAGATTTTCTAAAAAGGAGATCTAATGTTGAAATTTACTCTTGAATTTAATATATAAGTCATAATTACAAAGAGTTCTTAGGTTATGGTAAAGTTGGAATTAATTTGGGCTGCTTTCAAAATATATCTGAAATCAGGATCCCAAAATAACATAAAATGGTCAAAGGAAAGCAGCTAGAGAAATAATATATGGTTTAGGGAATCATAAGCTATTTCAAATTTATCTTCTATACTGCTAACATCTGATAAACTTCAGTTTTGCTTTATAAGTTTTTGTATTGGTTCTCTATCACAAATAATAGAAATGGTCACATCACCAGAAACCTTGCTGGGATAACAAAAGACTTCCTTAGAGCACTCTAAATCTCCCCTATTCTACTGTTATTTTTCCTCTGTGCTGGGGAAGTTGACTCCTTACCAGCAAGTTTAGCAGTGCAGAAGAGCCACTATGAGGGAATTTTTAAAAATAAATTTAGGAAATTTTATTACTTTCCTGGCGCCAAAGAACCCATGGAAGAGAATAATGTGACATCAAACTTAGTTTTCAAACAAAGTTCAAGAAATAGAGTTGACATGAAAATATATTACTAAAAATACTCAGATTTCTAGAATACCAATGACCTAGTAAAAGCCATAATTAACTCACTAGCTTTGCCACAGAACTACACTTCAAGAATTATTAGGCCTTCTATCAGACCTATTAGAGGTGAAAATTTCTGTAAAAATTTCACCAAAAAACTCATTATGTCATAAATATTAAGCTTAGGAAATGCCTTAATATTTACCTAAACTATGAGATAGATCCAACCACAAAAATCTTTTAATGGCTAAAAAGCTAACACCTTACATAGTAAATGGGAAATAAGTATTAAGCATGGCACAGAATAAAAGGGCAACAACACACAGCAAAATAAATAGGACTTTGCTCCCTGAACTAAAATGTGCCTAAGATTTGTCTAATTACACAGAAATTTTAGATAGGCAGCATTCTGCACCTTCACATTTCATACCAATACGTCAAATCCAGAAATTATTATTTTTTTAAGATTTTATTTATTTATTTGAGAAAGAGAGCACAAACAGGGGGAATGGCAGAGGGAGAGGGAGAAGCAGGCTCCCTGCTTAGCAGGGAGCCCTAAGCAGGGCTAGATCCCAGGACCCTGAGATCATGACCTGAGCAGAAGGCAGACACTTAAGTGACTGAGCCACCCAGGCCCCCCCCCAGAAATCATTATTTTAAAGTGGCTTTTTACTCTATCAGTTGAGTAAAACACACCCCAAACCAAGTGTTTCTATTTCACTTCACTCTCCATTATTTCACACTCCAGTAAGAATCTGAATTTCTTTGGGTTCCCAAGTTGGAAGCCAAATAGGAGAAGTTTGTCTTACTCTTCTTGTAGTAAGACACCCCAAGAAAGTCTGGCTGCAATGTCTGAGCTCCTATGAGTTCTTTTAAGATGAGGACTGGGATTGTGCTTTATACTGATCTGTATACTCCCCCCAAAGCGCTGGACATCTAATGGTCTCAACTGAACTGAACTGAACAATTTGGAACACTGTAGTCTCAGTGAATAGGCACTTGGAAAAACAAGTATTATAGTAGATTCAAAGATGGATGACACTTTATGTAAAGAGTCTGAAGGAACTGATTCAAGCTAAAGACTTACAGAAAAAAATCCCATGGTATTTTTCTATTAGAAGTTTACTTGGGTAGGACGCGTTGGTGGCTCAGTAGGTTAAGCGTCTGCGTTCAACTCAGGTCATGATCTCAGGTTCCTGGGATCAAGCCCCGTGTCCAGGTTCCCTGCTCAGTGGGGAGTCTGCTTCTCCCTCTTCCTCTGCCCCTAACCCCACTTTTTTTTTTTTTAAAGATTTTATTTATTTATTCATGAGAGACACAGAGAGAGAGGCAGAGGGAGAAGCAGGCTCCCAAGGAGCAGGGAGCCCAATGCGGGACTCAATCCCAGGACGCTGGGATCATGACCTGAGCTGAAGGCAGAGGCTTAACCATCTGAGCCACCCAGGCGCCCCCTAACCCCACTTTTGCTCGTGCGCTCTCTCTCAAATAAATAAATAAAATCTTAAAAAAATCTTATTTTGTATGCTATTACTTGGGTAATGCATACAAAATAAGATGAAAATATAGATGTATATAGGAATACTAACTAGTTGAAAGTTACACAAAATCACATATTTAATCAGAGTAAAACAGTCCAGACAAAATTGGAATTTACATTATTTGTTAATAAAAATGCAATGCTACAAGAATGCTTAGTAATTAAAGAAATGTTAAGGGAATACAAGTTCAGAATGAATGTTATATGACCATAATTGATATTAAATCTTGACTTACCTCCACAATTTAGGAGTCTTAAAAAGATAGAAGTCATCAGACCAGGCATATAAGTCAGATGAAACTAGGAAAGAAATAGAGAAAAAAATGTTCCCAGTTCTGGATAACCTGATTTGAAGTCCTAGGTTTACTGAACTTGGATTAATCAAATGATTCAAGGATTGAGGTGAAATGGTCTAAAAGATGCTGGTATATCCAGAAGACATATTACTGAGTTTTTTAAATGCTATTTTGGAAGCATAGATTAACATTTTAGGTTTCCTTACATATCATTAAAATGGAATATATATTAAAAAAATCAATTCAAGATGTAGAATAATGTGGAATTTCTGTCTCATGAAGGTGGCTATTTTTCACAGCAAGTAGTAACTAGGTAAACAGAGCAAGATACTTTGACATTCTAAATAGAAATCCTACAACACAGGTTTAGCTCCTAGAAAAACAAAATATTTGCTTTCAATTAAATTTTTCCCCCTTTGGCCACTTTTAAATTCCTGGCTACAATTTACTGAATCCCTGTTTGATTTGTTCTGGCTAACACTTTTTTTCAGAAGCAAACCTGATTTAGAGTGAGAAGAAGTAAGTCACAGGCCTCTTAGACAGAAACTTCATTTCTGCTTAACTGTGTTTCTCCATCAAAAACAAGTATTCATATAAGGAATCTCAATTATCTAAACCTATTTTTGGCCATCTTCTAGAATTTCTTGTTATTATCTCTTTTGAAATGCCACAACTGCACATTTGGAAAACTTGTCTTCCTGGTTTTCAAATTTCTGTTTATTATTATAGCTCTTCAGCCAGAATGCCAGGTCTTTGTGCTGTACTGTTTCTTGAAACTGGAGACCAGCACATTTCCCACAATTCAATTACCTGCCTTTCCATTTGAGAAATTAAAGCCATATCAATTTTATAAAGTTTTAACTGACTGGATCATTTGAACTTTAAGTTCTCAATTTCATTCCCTCAATCTAATACTGGGAAAGATCTCTGTTTTATTAATAGACGTGAAGGTAAGTTCAAGAATATTAACACACATTAGTCATTGATGCTCATAACTAATGTAAGTGTAGGGATTTTCTTACAGGCATAAGCTTGGGATATCACAGTCTAAGGAAAAAAGAGTTGATTTTTGGAAATGTTTATTTAAGATTACATACCTAATCAAACAATTTATTTATGTAAATTTGTGTGTTACGTATTTCTTTTTAAAAGAAAGGGATTGGGGTGCCTGGGTAGCTCAGTCAGTAAAGCGCTGGACTCTTGATTTCAACTCAGGTCATGATCTCAGGGTTTTGAGATCAAGCCCTCAATGGGGCTCATGCTCAGCGGGAAGTCTTCTTGAGATTCTCTCCCTCTGTCCCTCCCCCCTGCCTGCATACTCGCGCACCCATGTGCGTGCTC